GTAGGTGCGCAGGTATCTTGTGATCACCTGTTCGTATAAAACCAAACACAAATCCTCACTAAAATGCAACAAAAATCTAAGTAAGAAAAATAATAAAAACAGAAAAATGAGTCCACCTGAAATTCAAAGGTGATCAATGTCTACCTTTCGTCTAAAAAATATGTCTGGTACCTAATTGCCACGCGTTTTCCTTCCCCCCTGCCAGCGATCTTATGGGGTATTACAAAAACTGTCTATGTCCCTTCCCCCCTACCAATCCGACCAGGGTACCTTCCTTAACTCGAGTTCAAATTTCGATCTCCACCTAATATTACCAACGCGTGTTAATTTCTAATGTAACTAAGTCAACGATGTCGACTAATTAGTTACTCTAATTTCCCCCTTTTTACAATTTACAACCGCCAACCTCTAACTTAACCAGCCCCCCTTCTAACCTCCCCCCTTTTTATCCCCCCTTCCTAAGCCTAAAATTACCTTAAGCGCCGGGTGCTAAACCTCTCAAGAGAAAACCGTAGACCTGTCTCCAGGCCTGCTCAAGTAAAAACGTTCCTCAAAACCGGGGGATGTCGCTTATCCTATTTTACGCTTATCTCCTATAATGTAATGTGGATTTTAACGATACCCGTTCTGCCCAACTTGAGAACTCGAGAATTGCCAAATCCTTCTTGGCTGCTTTCCCACTCGACTGGTCACCTGTTCCAGTCCAGTCTCCTATTGGTTCAGCTCAAGTGTCCCTGAACCACTTTCCCACTCGGCTGGTCACCTCTTCCAGTCAAGTCTCCTATTGGTTCAGCTCAAGTGTCCCTGAACCACTTTCCCACTCGGCTGGTCACCTCTTCCAGTGAAGTCTCCTATTGGTCCAGCTAAGTTCCAAACTATCTGAAAACCCTTGACAACGCCCCACACTCGGGCACTTTATTACGGTTACTGGGTTAAATTGCTAGGTTGATCGAAACGATCGAACTTATAAAACAGTATGGGTATACTATTTAATTAATATAAAGGTTTGATCCAACTGATCTGGTGTCAAAGTCACTGTCTTTTTTCGTTTTATGGTTTTTGTTCCTTTTTCTATTCTTTTTTGGTTTTTGTTTTGCTTTTTGTCTTTTTGCTCGTGTTTTTGTCCCCCTAGTTGCCCCCCTTTACTCGGTTAGCTAAGCCTCGTTCGGAGAGCGTACCAGGAAATTTTCTCGAGTTTTCTTAAAAAGCTATCACGGTACAACCGGAAGGTTTGCACGTTCCTGTCGAACCGTACCGCCGGTACTCTAGAATGGGCATTCAGCCCGAAGCTGTCTCAAGTGGGTTCGACTCCGTAGTCTTGATGTCGTAAACACCCAGGAGCGCCATAAAAACACTATGTAACATTCGTCTACTGCAGTCACACATGAGGCTTAAGAAAAATAGGCCCTATAACCACTGGCTCAAGGGTCAGGGACACCATCTCTTGTGTTTTTCTACCTCAAGAACGGTCGGAGCCAGTTTGGTTCGCTTGTGACATGAGACTACGACCCGTTACAGCTTAAAGGCTACTACTAAAATATCCCCCCACTCTAGAATTAGAAACGTCCCCATACTTAGGTCTCTAGATACCCAAAATACATGAACGCCGTTAAAAACCGGGTTGGAACAATCCGTTAAGTTGCTTTTTTTATTAGACAGTGGAACTTTGATCCATTTCAGATGGATCAACCTAAAACTCGCCTTACCTCAACATAACAATTATAAAACACACTCTAGGAATTTAAATTTGTACTCACATAGTAGCACGCTCAAGAAGTGGGAAATAATCCAGTCGGTAGTTAACTCAAGAATTAAATAACGTAACTAAATGAGTCTAATGTTTTATAGTTTTAACAATGAGAACGAGTTTATACTCTAGACAATAGTTTTCTTGTGAACCATTAGGACACTCGAGTTGTCCACCTTTCCACCGAAGGTTCACTCTAGTCCAGTTCCGAATAACACTCCAGTCGCTATAATCCAATTCGTGGGAATGCTCTCGTCTCTGTCACAGATGAGACAGCTCTACTCTCGATTATGATAGTGATGGAAATTGCGAATAGCAATTTCCTACTGCTTTTTCTTACAACTTTCCCGCGTGTGTGACTCAATCGTTCTGAAATTGTTCTGATTTTTTTTTTCTGATTTTCAGTTATCGCGAGAAAATCGTGCATGACAGGTTCCATTCGAAATTTTGAAAAATTAAATTTCACTCCAAAATCAAGTGTTTTTTGCTTCTCTCAAGGTCAAACTTCCAAATATGACCGACTGGCACAAGAGTTGGGGGGAAAGGGTTGATCCATCCTCGATGGAGATGATGATTTTTATCTACTGAACAAAAACAATAGTAATATAATAAATAGTAGCCCTGTTTTTAGGAGTGACCTCGTGGTCTGGGGATACTGAGACCCAGCCATGAGCTCACTATTTTTGCATGTAATTCAGTTAATTTGAGCGTTCTGGTCGAAGCCGGAGAACAGTAACGTTTTTGTCGACCCGATGTAAGAAATTCCACCGAAAAGTACTGGCTTGGTAGAGACGGTGAAAAACATGCAAAGCTCTGTTTAGACGCTAGCCAGTCGTCTTAAGACTTAGTTTTGTTATCCGTCGATATGTATCTTCCGGGCGAATGTTACATTTTGGATTTAATTTTCCGGAGCCATTTCAATTTTTCCTAGGTCAAACCACCGTTTAAGAGCATCATCATAGGTTCCATCCACATGCTCCAAACCAAAGATTTCGCTCAAGGCATCTTTCGCTCCTACTTCTGAGGCTAAGAAAGCGGGTAAAGCGAGTAGACGAGCGGAAGAAACGCCCAAGCCACCTTTGGCTGCCGGGAGAACTGCTTGTAAAAACTGGTTATCATCCATTTTCACGTTAGTGACCTTGCATAACGAATTTCTTAGTAATTTATCGTAGCGTTCCAAAAAATCATTTTGCAAAAAATATAGGAGTTTTGGCATGCTAAAGCAATTTTTCAGGAGGTAAAAACCATAATGGGCGTCTAGTTTGTCAATGACATCCGAGATTTTTTCAAGCTCCTTAATTTTTTCGTCGAGCAATTCTTTTCGGCAAAGTTCGCCGATTGGAGATCCTAAAATGAGGAGTTCTTCTTTTGTTTTTATTTTTTTTGGGGCATATTTTCCGAAATTGTGTTAAAATTGAATTATACTGTGTACTAGTAGTCGGTCCCAAAAAACAAAGTTCACACTTCTCAGCGTTTAAGCTCAGGCCGTAATTTTGTTCCAATTTCAGAATGTTTTTAAGGTGGCGGAGTACTACCTTATAGTCGTCGGCTAAATTCCCATCATCTAAATACCAGATGTTAATTTTGACTCCAACTGTTTGACTAGTGTATGAATTGTTTCCGCAAAAAGGGATGGGGCTTCAGGATCACCTTGCTGAGTTACGTCTTCTGACATTATGACAGAGCTTCCGTAAAAAAGGTAACTAGGTTTACCATACGCGCAATGGGTGTAATTTTACAGTTCGGGGCGATTTGAATAAACATGGTTCAGCATTGTTTCTCTGTTTAAAGAGTTAAAGGCATTCTTAAAATCGAGTTTTCGTTGCGTTCAATTAGGTTTCGAAACGATTGCGCAGCTATTTCTGCTCCTCTTTTGGTACCGCATCCTACCTGTACGTTTCCGAAAAAATTTTGTCGCTCGGAGAGGGTCTTGCTTCCAGCGCATTTAGACGCGATACGTCTCAGCGTGTTTACTATGGCAATCGGTCTCAACCCTCCGTCTATCTTTATGAGGGCGATAAGCTTTGCGCCAAAAAAAAGGTCTTAATGGTTCGGGTATTTTGCCATCTCCAATGAGGTTTATCAGCTTAGTAAGCGATTTCAAAAAATTAAGTCCTGCACTGCCATTCGACTTACTAACAAGATCTTTAAAACTTTGAGGAACTATTTTATCAGGACCTGCTGCTGATCCGTTTGGAAAGGACATCATCGCTTTGTATAGGTCGAAATCGGTTACGCAAAAACTCTCCAACTTTCTTGGATTTGGAGCTGCAAATTTGGCTCGCTGCGGGTGCTTAGACAACAATTTTTGATAAAGGAGCTATTTTGTCATCCGAAGCAGCAAGCCTTATTCCTCCCTTTACATTTCCTTCATCGAGCTTACTACTTATTAACTTTATTCTCTGCTCGAGGTCACTCAGAGGCGGGCTTGAAACTTGGGGATGGGGTTTTGGAAGTGACACGTCATTTGCTCGAACTTTTTTATTAATCAAAGAACTCATGCTTGTGGTCTGTTTGCGTCCACTTCTTTTCGGTTGCTCCAAAAAACACAAGAAAGACGTTTAAAAATTAGCCATTTTGTAACATCTTCTACATTGTAGACAATGTCATTTATTTTGTCCGACAGACTTTCCGCCAAGGGAACACGCGAGTCTTTTGGTACTCTCTTGAGTACTCGGACATTTGAGATGGCTGTATTAACATAATTGTCTAGCACTAAATCATTACATATTGTTGCTTTATTAACAGACTTTACATCAACGCATAAAGGACACTGAAACCATTGGGTTTTCTTAGAGTCGCTAAGAGAAATATTTACACAACTGATATGATACCAACTAGAACAACAATCACATCTAATCCAATTTATCAGTCCTGAAGGTTTTAAGCAATCTTTGCTTGTACACTCTTTGTTGTTTTTCCTCATCTTGACGCAGCATAAAGGTTAAAAAAAAGGATTTTGACTGGACTTTAGGGGACTGAACTAACCCATGATAAGCGGTTAGTGGGAATTTTACAAATCAGCAAATAAAAAAAAGACAACTAAATTAATTTCAAATTTAAAATCGAATTATAAAAATCAAAAACAAGGAACAATCTCACCCGAGCTCAGTAGGTCCAGCGGCGCACCACCAGACTCCTCAAGCCAGTTCCAGTTTCCCACCTCCCCCATTGAAAGCCACTTGACAGACCTGTCTCTAAAATCCCTCAGAGGGCGCTCCACATACAGGCACAAACATCAAACATAACAAATCTATTTAATAAGTTTATCACAACAATTAGGCTAAATTCTGGATCAAATTAACATGTGATTGTTAAATTTTATTTCATTTGACTACATATGAATAAAATACATCCAACATAGACAATTCCATCATTACTATAATCGAGGAAGGTAGATTTTAATTGACAATTCTCTGGATGTAGCAGTAGTAGAGGCTTTATGGCTCATTGCCCAAGGGTGTGAACCCCTGTTTTCAGCTAGCATGAGTTTTTGATTAGCCTAATTGTTGCGATAAACTTATTAATTAGATTTGATCTGGGAGAAGGACGAGCCAAGCAGAAGATTGCAAAGAACTTCAAGGATGACTGTCCAACGACTGGTGTAACATCTATTGGATGCGACTCTTGCGATTCCTGGTGGCATCCGGTATGCGTCAACCTATATCAAAAATACCTGCCTGTAAAAGGTACTGTCCGATATGCCTACCTGCTGTTGAAACTAAACAAAGTAATCTGCTGGATCAAGAGAAAACTCTTGAGGAGATTCAAGAAAAAAAGCAAGCCGTTGTTGCTAACGCGTATGACATCAAAGATTTTTCACATGCCAATCAAGATATCGGATCAACAGGTCAAAGAGCTGCGCCATCGCCTGACTTTGTTTGCAAACGATTGCGTTTTAAAGGTTTCACTGAAAGCACAAGCAAAGAGCCTTTTCGAAGACAAATGAATAGGCAAAACTCGGTCCAAAACCTGCTTCAATCTGTTGTGAATATAACAAGGTTGGGACGATATAGCGCTGACAGAAAAAGGGCAATTGTTGAATGTAATTGCAACAGGGACGCCAAGTTAGTTCTCCACAAAGCTATTGCTTTCAAACTCAACAACACATCAGGTGTATTCGTAAGCAAAGACTTGACAATAGATGAACAAAATCTAGAAAAACAGGCACTGAAACAGAGATATGAACTGATTAAAATAGTGTTGACAAATCCACGCTGAAAAATGTTAATTTCCGCCTTCAACGAGATGGAACAGTTATATGTAACATTCGCCCAAATACTACACAGCGACGGAGCGTAGAAAAAGTACCTATTAACGACTGGCAGGGGTCAGTTACCTTATTTCCACTCGTTTTTCACCGTCTCGACCTTGCCAGTTGTTTTTCTGGTCTGTTTAGGGCTAAGTAAAAAGTTACTACTTTTAGGCCATCAGTCAAACGACTTTTGATCAGCTTTCGTTTACATGCGAACACAACCACATAGCTGAGTCTCGGATCCTCAGGTTACGTGATTGCTATTAAAAACACGGCTCGAATACCCTATTTTATCATGTTTTTTGTGTGACAGTTCTATATTAAGTCCATTGGAGATGGATTGACCCTTTCCTCTTTCTAGCTACTGATATTCTAAAATATCAAATTATACCGGTGTTAATTCAGAGTTCTACGACATCCAAGTAGCTACAAAGTCAGTTTTATATAGTCCCTTCACATACAACAGTCTCTGGGGGACCAAGCCTCCGCTCCCGTAATCTTCCCGAGATAACGCTGTTATCTCTCCAATTTGTGGCACGGGAGGATTCCGTGGAATATTCCTTCCCCACTGAAGCTTCCTTCTCCAATAAGATCCACTGCTAAGGTTTTTATCGCGTGTTATTGCCACGATAAGAGGCTCTGTTTTCTTTGTGTTCCCGCACGACCGTTTCTCACTATATTTGTTGTTTTTTTGTTTTTTTTGTCCCTTTCAGTAAAATGGCCGTCTTTTTCTATTTCTCAGAAATATTCACTCTTCGATCGAAATTTTAAAAATAAAAATTCTAGAATATTCCTACCCTCCTTCGCAATTTTTTTCGTTACTAAGGCCTTTATTCGTTTTTTTCTGTCCCGCCGGAAGGTCGCGCTGTGCCAACCTGGAAGAATGGCACATACTCCCCGGACAAGTCCCCATCAATGTCCCTATTGATCGCATAACACCCGGTTATCGTCAAGTAGTGTTCCAGTTCTCTGTAATCAATCTTACAAATCGCATAAGAAAATGAAATTTATCTACTCCACCTCAACTCACTACGTGTTCACAAATGGCATCGTACTACATCTCACTGCCTTTCAACATTTTTACAAAATTTGCACCATGAGGAATGACCTAGCTAAAATTTCTTTTCTGACTACTTACGTCACTTGCCATAAAACTTCTTTTCGCTCTTTGTGATTAAAAAGTTGGGACGTGGCACGGCCACGCACCCATTAAAATTAACTTAACGTCACTCACCAAGTATAATCAGTTATTTACGCAGTCCTTTCAATATAAAAACTAAGAAACTCTGTGGCTAGGAAAGTTATTGAGTTACTCACCCTTCTCGAGCGAGTTTACTCAAACTTACCATGTCGCCACACAGTGAAATTGTGTCTTACACAGGTTAAAAACTTCAGTCGTGTTTAAATAGGTAAATATACTCACCTATGTTCTATATATATACATAAGTAGTATAACTAAAATTTTCTTTCAACAATTTTAACAATTGCAACAATTTTCAAAGTTTTGTTTGAACAAACTAAATCAAAAAAAAAGTTTAACAAGTTCAATAATCAAACTTGGTTGATTGGTTTAAGTTTTAACGCACAAAGACAATCAAGTTTTTTCTCCTTCTCTTCTTTTCTTGCTCACGTCTTCACTTGACCTCTTCGTTCCATCACCTTCATTCCATTGCTTCTCCATCCTGATCTTCAGCTTCGCTGTCTTCTAGGACTTTCTCCAGCATGTCCATGGAGTTGCGGGCCGTGCCCCAACTCTCCTGTTCCAACAGCCTCGGTTTGCAACAAGGTAGCAGGTCCACATTCACCTTTTGCTCCCGGTTCCTGCAAAAGCTGTTGTGAAGACACAGGCTAATATTTTGTTCTAGGTCAGCTCTTAAGACTTCTTTCTTCTCCTCTTCAGTTACACAAGGCGCTCCAGCTACTCGCTTCATCGCCGTGGTGACCGCGTTTCTGTGAGTTAGGAATGCTCTCTTATAGGCTTCCGGTCCTATATCTAGCTAGAAAGATTGATAGGCTTCCGTGTTCTTTGACATGTGACGCTTCGCGCGTTCATACATCAATGACGTCATCACTGCACGGAACCAAGGCATCAATCTTTGCCTTAACCATATTCTTTCAATGGCTTTGGGTACTCTCAGAACCTTGCAGGTGGTTCTGAAAAGATCCAATTCGCGACTCATCTTCACGTTGCTCAGCTGCTCAGGAGTCGGCACGGCCGTCTCCTATTCACTTGTGTCAGCGTTAGCCTCCAACCATCTCACTGCCAGCATGGCACTAACCACCACGATTGACACCTGTTGATTCTGATCGGGCAACCCCGTAGAGTACAACTCCTCCACGTCCCATGCTAGCATCAGATTCCCGCGTTTGGGGTACCACAACGTCTGCGCCAAGCAGTGGCAAGGATACTCCCCATGGGTTCTCACTATGTTCCTTCGGGTCCGATACCCTGAGGCTCCCAGCAACGGTTCCACCTCCATCATAATTCTGTGTAAATCGTCTTTCTCTTCTTGGTGGGAAATTCAGTGGGTAACGCTCCACTCGCTTTCTGCTTTTGGAACTCTCTCACATTACCTTCGTTCAGTCTCAGGAACTCTTCACCCACTACACCTTGCAACTCGCCTTCAGATCTCTTCGGGACTGCCCGAAAGATCTTCGCCAACAAATCATATGACCTACCCCACATTCTGGCCAACCTCACGCACTTTGGCACAGAGAAAAGTTGGTCAATCAACACCTGCTGCGTCCTCGCATCAATCACCACCATGTGTGTAGGATACCTACTTTTGCAATATGGCGCGGAGCTTGAACCCACCAGATATTTTGAACTAGTAGATTTATGATAGGCTTCACTATCCTTCAGATTCATTACGTTTTCCAGGACTTCTCGCCAGCCTCCGATCTTCTGCTCTGTCTGCAATGCTCCAGAGAATACTTCCACGCTGAGGGACGTCACTAGCTCATGGGCACGCTCCAGGCGCTCAAGCGATTCTATCGAACTCATCATGCTACAAAATCCCAAAGCTGTGGTCAAGTTTAAATCTGTCACCCCATGACAGTCCGCGACCAACTCCATGCCACTCTTATCCGACATGCTCAATCTTCCGTACAATCGTGCCAGTTGTCGATGCTGCTCGCTCATCGTAATCAGGCAGTGTCTCAAGTTGCAAACATGTCCTTCCATCCCACTATGTTGAGCCAAACAGGTGCCTTGCTTCAACCAATTGCTCGATGGACTTTCCTCGGATAGCTCCGTGGATGGGTTGCTCTTCCGCTTCGTCATCCTCATGGCCAGCAGATGGTGTATCATTAGAATGGCGTTAGAATGGGGACACCAAGAAGGCTTCATGAGCTCCCACATGGTTACTAGGCTGGTTTTCAAGGGACCGTCCCAAGAACCACAATCAAATCTCACTTGCCCCTTCAGCTCGGGAACCGAGGGTTCGACCACTCTTTTTTCTAAAATAATTTCCAGCTTGGGTTGTTCCACCATCAGCATTCCAGTTTCCTTAATCCGTTCGACCCAGAAATTGAGCACTATGACTTGCTCATAGTCGAAGTACGCTTCCATGGCTTCTTCATTCACGAAGGGATTATACGCCATCCCCGGTATGCCAGACACATATTGGAATGACTTCAGTTTCCCTAGTGTTGCAAAGTCTTTTTGTCCCCTGACTGTTTCAATCAACTCCCGGCTCACTTTCAATTCTTTGTTGGAATACCTTCTCACTTCTTCCAACTTGCGATAGCTCTCCATTTCATTCGACTCCCTTATTGGTACAATCAACGGCATATCCTGATACAGTTCCAGGAGTGCCCTGAGGAAATTTTTTTCGCAGTCAACTCCCTTTTGCCGAATGATCTTTATGCATTCTCCCAAAACAGGAGTGGAGATACGATCCACCACGAACCTGACAAAGCAAAGGGCATCCTTACGCTTTGCCGAGACTATCGCAGAATCGTCTTTTGAAGTCAACGCTCGCAGGGCTTCCATCAACTCCAGCTCCTGTTCCTTTGATTTCAAATC